CAGAAAAAGGCCTAAGACAGTTCAGAAGAAGCAATCATTACTTCCAAGTAGATGTGTATGTTTGTCCTAAGGCAGAAGATGGGAATTTAGGGAGTCATGTGTTAAATATGCAGACGGGGGTAAATAATCTGAAGACAAATAAAATGAGCAAAGGTAAATATATGTATGTAAAAAAGAATAATGCAGTTACACTGAACAGATAAAGGTAAAGAGACCGTAGCAGAAAATAGGGTTGAAAGGTATACTAAAGTAGGGGTTTGGATTTTCTGACGTCAAAAGATGTATAATAAAATATTTTAGCATGAATAAGTGACATGAACAGAGTTGTGCTTTCAAAATGTTAATCTGCTAGCACTGTGTAACATGGTTTGGGGTAAAGAGACTGGTAATTCTGTGACCCATTAGGAAACCACTGCAGAAATCCAGGAAGGACAGGGCAGTAGAAATGGGGCACGAGTGGGCAAGACAAGCAAGTGTAGTTCTCAGGAGGAAACGGAAGGAAGATAAAAATGAACAGGCCCTGCTAATCTGGGAAACCAGGAACTGATCAGTCACTGAAAGAAATAAGGAATGAGCTTAGGAGGATGCCATCTTTCATGATCTCAATTCAATCCTAATGCTAAAAAGTAAAACACAGCTAACTTTTACAATGCACTTAATATGGGCCAGGCATGATGCTAAGAGTTTTAAATAAATTTCCCTATTTCCTCTGCACAAAATCCTTATGAAGCAGATATGCTTTATTATCCTTAATTCGTAGTACAGGGAGGGGCTGAGTTTAGATAACTTTCCTAAAGTCATATAGCCAATAATTCCCATAACTGGTTTAGAATCTAACCAGTGTCACCCCAAAGCCTGAGGCCTTCACTACTATCTCAGACTATGTAGTACATTACTGTAAAAATTAATTACCAGGACTGTAATAATGGAGTGGGCCACTAGGAGGCAGTGAACTCCTTAAACCTGACGACGTTCAATCACGTCAACTGAGTAACAAGGCTTGGTAGAGCGGTTGAACAGGAGATAGGACACCGGGCTTCGCCAGGCCTGAAATCCTTTAACATCCCTTATCAAAATGAAAATCTCTAACTCTTGCAACTCAAGATCATTTCTAGGCCAGCAGTTTTGGCATCACTTGGGCGCTTGTTAGAAATGCAAACTATTAGGTCCCAGCCTAGTTTTACAGAATCAGAAATTGTACTTTTAAAAGCTCTTCAGGTTATTAATAGACACATTAAAATTAAGAAGCACTGGTCTAATTCATCCTCTAAATTTCGCAGATAAACTGATACCACCAACCAGAAGGACAAACGGGCTGGAAGTGGGTGTTGCACCACGTGGGCACGGGGTCCCTGGCGTTGCACACTACCCGGCGGACACGGGACAGGCTCGAGGGG